TTCCTCATCACAGCCCTATATGTTAAGAATGATCACTATACCCAAAGAAGAAGATGGATATTGAAGTATCTATCTGTTTTACTATGTATTGCTTAGCACCATGTATTTCTTTTACACTTTTGTATATGGATTGCTTTTTGCCTGGCATAAGTAGAGGCTCAATAAGTAGGTTTAATCATGAATGAATGTTTTGAAAGGGGGAGATGGTGTTTGAGAGTTTGTAGCAGGGGAATATGACCCATATCCTGAGGCATTAAGGGATGAAGAAGTACACATTGCAGAATAGTCATGGGAATGTAAAATAGAGCGAGAGAACATAGTCAATAATATTTTAATAACTAGGTATGGTGTCAGATGGGGGCGAGATTTATCAGGACGATCACTTTGGAAGTTATATAATGTCTCATCACTGGGTGTACATCTGAAACTAATATTGTATGTCAACTGTAATTGAAAAGTAAAAAATGATTTAAATTTTGAAGAAAGAAACTCCTCCCTGAAGATGTGAGATTTTAATTTAAGACTTGAAAATGAATAAGAATTGGCTTTGCTTTGATGAGAGTGAAGCTTGGGCAGGCTCATCCTGACTGATCTTAAATAAGCTACCATTTTCCCCCCTGGGATTTAGTTGCAGCCATCTTAACAAAATGAAAAACTTATGATGAAACTTCCCCTAGGGGGTTGTGAGAACGTGGCAGAAGGGAAGGATCAGAGTAACTTTCTCATAGGAGCCAGGCTTAGGTGAGAGCAAGCAACATGAATGGCTGGCACCAGGGGGAGGGCCTGTTGGAAGCTGGTGATGCCTGGGGCCTGGGGCAAGGCTCCAGCTGGGACTCTGAAGGACAGAAGGGATTGCTGTGATCTCCCAGGAGGTCAGTGGACAGAAAAGCTTGGAACCACCTGGTCCATAGTGCAGCGCTAAAGGATCTCCCTTTCCTCCCCCCGCCCCGCCCCTGCCCCATTTGATGTCAGGACCCGGAAATCATCTGGGAAATGGTGGACTCTGGGCTCCACCCTGCATACTCTATGGCTTGTCTCGCCTGGCACCTAAAGTGGGTCACCTTTCTCTCTCCCTCCTCCTGGGCTTCTGGTTTCCCTTTCAGAGGCCTGGTTCTGTTCTTGGGCCTCTCTCCAGACCCTTCTGCCAATTGCCAGGGAGCCTCCATTCTCCTCAGAAAGATCCTGCCTCCCTGGAGGCCTGGCTCCTATCTGGGATGGCATTAGGTACAGTAGAGTCTAATTTCAGTGTGGGGTTAATGAACGCTAGCTGTTCGTTTGCTATACCTCCCAGTAAGATAATTGCCTTCCAACAGGAGCTTTTCATAAGTAATGCCTAATGCAAGAGCAGGGCTCTCTGGCAATGACCTTTTGGGGGCTCTGGATCTTCAGAATCTCTTCCTGCTGCCCAGACCCTCTGATGCTGTGTTAACTCGTTTATTAGTCCTGTTTTCTGGAGTCTGCGCTCTTTTAGGCAGGGAGGGGGTCTGATATCCTGTCTCCCTGCTACTTAGCCTAATGCCTCATATAACATCAGGGTGGCTTCAAATTGGTGGACACAAGTGGTGAGACAAACGATTTCGGACAATATTATTTGGAAAACTCTGATAGCCTGACACTTCAAGCCAAATTTTGAAATTAAATACCTCCCCCCAAATATTGTCTCACTATAAAGTGCAATCACGTGGGGTGTTAAATGTGCAATCACGTGGGGTGTTAAATTCCTTGTCTGTCTCAAAGAAGGCTCTGAACCTGTACTCTTTACCAGCTCATCTGCTGAGTCTGCAAAAACACGGACTCTCTCCTGTGGGCTGTTTGTCTTGGGATAAATGATCATATCCTCTTAGCCCACTTTCTCTTCTGTAAAATGGGGTTGTTCAGAGCATCACAGTGAAAAAGATGCCAAAACACAGTAAAAACCCATTTGCACCATAGTCACCTGTCCGAGGAGATTTCACATTTGTTTTTTCTGCCCCTGGCCCATTCTGCATCCAGGTAGATGAAGTGCTTAGCCCTGGTATTAGCTCTGTCATTTGAAATTGGGATTGGAGATGTTTTCATTGAGGTCAAGAAGTACTGGCTGGTCTAGAGTGGCCCTTTGGAAATAGGATGCTAGTCCCATGGTTCTTTTCTCTGTAATGGAGGAGAAAGGCTTTTATGATTTGTCTTGTTTTTAGGGGGACTTTTTTCCTGAGTTCTTTGAAGGTAGTTGTAGGCAGGAGCATCAGGGATTTTCCCCCTCAGGAAGTATTTACTATGTGCCTACCATTGACTCAGAAGATATTTACTAACTGCCTATTGATCATCTAGGCCTGAAATAGGCACAGTTGAAGAATGTCTATTCACGAGTTCCATATCTTTGCTTGAATGATATATTATTGTTGCTGGAAAGGACGTCCACAAAAGTACAAAGCATCTATCAGATGCTGCCTCCCATATATTCTGTTCATTCATTCATTCATTCAATCACTGACTCATTCAACCAATATTGATTGAGTACCTAATTTGTGCCAGGTTCTGTGGGAGGCACTTGGGGTATAAAGATGAATTAAACATTGATAGCAAATTTGATAGAAGTTTACAATTTTATTATTTGGACAAGATAGGTGAATAAATGCAATTAGATACTGTGACTAGGGGCTGATATTACTGTCCCACACAATAGCAATTAAAGGAAGCAGTTACATTATTCCGGGTACTGTGCTAAACCCTTCATATGAACTACCTTCTTTTTCCCTCAAAATGCTGCATAAGATTCTATTATTATTTTTATTAGAGAAGTAATGAGGCTTAAAGATGTTACATAAGTTGCCCAAGGTTACACAGTAAGTCTGTCTGAAAAGCAGGCTTACCCCCTGGCAAATTGCAGCACCACCCTCTTCATCACACCTTCTCTTTCCTGCTCTGAAGTTGGTATATGGCCATTGCTCAGAGAAAGCCAACAACAGCAAGAGCAACATAGGTGGTGACAGTTTATCCGGTGTGTATAATGTGCCACTTCATTCAAGAGAACATGAGGAAAACCTGTTGTTGTTCCCATTTTATAGATGCAGAAACTGAGGCTCACAGGTATTAAAGTTTTGTTCATCTACCCAACTGGTAACCACATACAATGGGATTCAAACTTGGGTCAGATTGACTCAAAGCCCTCACTCCTACTTTGATTGCTGATCAGAGGTTGACCATTCAGTATCTCTCAGAAAGACACCTCTGGTTATGCTCTTCTGTCATGAGTTTGAGTTTACACAACAAACAGACCATTATAGGCGTTATTTAAATAGCACCTTACCTGGTATGGCCCACCCTTGCTAGGTCTTTGGATCTATGGAAGTGATGGGTTATGTGGTTATCAATGGGCTAAGTGCCCTCTCCTTACCAGCAGCTGTAAACATATCACAATGGTCCAGAAGTCAGAGAGAGAGAGAGAGAGTATATTGGTGGGAGAGTTAATTTACATTAAAATGTCCTGGACTTTCACTATCTTTATTTTTAATGGCTCTAAATTATTGCTCTCTTAGGCAGATTGGCGATACTGGCAAGTATTTTTGTAAAAGAGCAGACACCAAATTATTAAGATTTCAAGACACACTTTTAAATTAAATCTTAGTTTTAAAAAACCCCACTCCAAGAAATATTGGTTTTCTTTTACAGAACATTTAAGTCATTTCCTTGAGGCCCTAAATGCAGCACAAAGGACATTTGCCTCTTTCTCCCCATCATATACAATAGGGTCTTTCACAGCACTTATAAATCCCCCACCGGATGGAGCCTTGTGCTTACCTTCCAGTGGTACCATTCCCACAGTCATTACTAGATCACGAGTCAGAACCAAACCTGTTCCCCAATCCAAATTACTCACATTTGGTGATGGTTCATGTCCTTTAATATTATCATCCTCTCCCTCCCTCCCTCCCTCCCTCTCCCTCCCTCCCTCCCTTTCCCTCCCTCCCTCCCTCTCCCTCCCTCCCTCCCTCTCCCTCCCTCCCTCTCATATTTGCAATCTCAGTGGGAGTCTCTCATTTGCAATCTCAGGGAGAGTTTTGTGAAAGTTGTGCAATCCCTGATCAACTTACTTTTACCATGTTTCCCTATGTCGTCAGGGTACTTGGATTGTGTGAGGAGGGTCAGTTCTCTTGGGCTTAGTCTCTATTGTTGTGCTGTGGCTTTAAACTTGTACAGCATATAACCCAGAACCAACTGGCTGCCTCAGTGTGAGGGTCAGCAGGAAGGAAAAAAAAAAAAAAACAACATCAACAAACAACCAACAGCCGTAGTGGAACACAGAATCTGTCTGTGTTAGCCCTCTGTCACCGACTACTCAGCCCAGCTTTCGGCTTCACCTAAATGATAAATGGTCCTATTGTTAGGGTTTCCTATTAAAAAAAACACACACACAAAACTAAATCTAGATTAGGCAGGGACAGAGACCCATTTCATTGCGCTGTACTTTAATATTCCTGAGACCCATGGCATTGCGGGTGGCTCCTTTTAACAGCCGTCCCTCTCCGGGGCAGAGCACTGTGCTGTCTTTGTTTCATCTGATCTTTCCGCTAAATAAGAGATGGTCACTTATCCCCACGACTCCCGTCTCCTGCCGGATTTCTATTGCTGCGGGAGAAACTGACCACACGGGGAAAGGTGGAGGCTTCAGGCAGGGCAGTTTCCGCGTGTGTTTACAGGCAGGACTGACTTACTCAGCAAATCCTGCTCGGAGGAGCTGCGGCCAATGAAGAGCCTATATCCCGGCTTGCTTGGGGGCTTCTGAGTTTGAGCTGCATGCAGAAATGTAAGGCAGTGCTTCCTGGCGCTGATGGCAAAATGGGACCCAGCTCCAGTCCTTCCTCGGGCTGCCCAGCTCTGCAGATCTGGGAGAGAAGCTACATCCACATATTGGTGATGTAGCCAGCTTTAAAGGCCGAGAGAATCCTGATGGATTCAGGAGACTGGTTTGTTATTTAGATTTATTTTTTATTTTTTATTTTATTTTTTTTCTGGAAGATGAAATGCTTCTCTCGTTACCTGCCTTACATCTTCAGACCTCCGAATACCATCCTCTCCTCCAGCTGTCACACGGAAGGTACCGATCAGAGAGGGAGAGTGGGTGGGTGGGAAAAAGTGGGCTGGTATATGACTTCCCACAGGCTCTGCCGATGCTGTTTTCTGTAGCTACTAGATGACTGGCGTTCCTGGCAAAGGCTGGGAGCTGACAGCTTAGATCTGCTTCTAGAATCGCCACTCCGTCTTCTCACGAGGAAAGGGGAGTATTTGCTGAAGAGCAGGATAATGTTGCAAAGGTGATCTCAAAGCTGATACAGCCGATGAGAAAAAAACATCATAAATATTTTGCCAGTTTCCCCTGTTCTACTTAACATGCAAACAAGTCATTGGAACTGATGTTAAGGGGGCGGGGGGTGGGGGTGGATTGCTGCAGGTACTGCCACGTATGTTTATCCAAGCTCTCTGTTTTTGTCACTGTCTGTTTAATAACTTGGTGCCTGCCCAAGAAAGCAATTAGCAAAATAGAATTAGCTCACTCCACGGCTGTGGCGTGCCGATGATCAGATTGGTTTGCTGCGAGTCTGTACTTGGGTTGCAGAGCAGGGAGAACACAGCTCACTTTCATCACTTGCTGGGAATGTGGTTGGGGGGGGGCAGGGGTCCAGGGTTATGGCCTTAACATGAGGATGAACTGAGCCTTATGCAAATGGTCCCCCATACCTGGTCCTGCTGCCTTCTAACCCAGCATGATATGCATACATGTGTGTGTGTGTGTGTGTGTGTCTGTGTGTGTGAGAGTGTGTGTACTTTCTGTGTGCATGTGTGTGTACCTTGTAAACATTCTGGTCACTCGCCTTCCACTGAGCACTGCAGGTTTCAGCATTTGTAGAGTCATTAACTGCTTGAGCATCTTCTGTATGTGGTTTTCCTGTTTCTTTTGATCTGCCTCATCCCTGGGAAAAGAGCAGTTTTAAGCTAAGCGACTGGCTGGCTGTTTTTCAGCCATGGGGGTTGTCCTAGAAGAGGTACTGGATTGAAGAGGACCCAGGAAGGTGAGGAGCTGCCACACGCCTCCAAAACTGAGCTCGTGGTCCTCAGCCACAGAGCAGAAGCCGGGGCTGGGGACTGTGTGTACAGAGTGAGAGAAGCCTTTACTATAGCAGAGGTGGCTTTCAATCTGTACCCCCAGGAAAAGAGGGTAGATGTTTGGGATCAGCCTTACATTGAGACTGAGGATGGTATTTTTCATAAACATTGCTATTGCATAGATTTTTTTCTCCAATTCTGTATTTCCCTTAACAATGTTATTGGTGTTTAAAGGAAATGACCATTGGGAGATCTTTTTTCCTTCATGGAGAGGAAGTAAGTAAGTCTCTGTGAATCTTGGGGAGAGATGGGGGTGGCAGGAATAGAAATCTCCAGGAGAGCTTTCCAAATACGAAAGATCTAAACTCATCTAGGGAGGTGCCTCGATAATTTCTCTGCTGTTTCTGATCCATTCCCTGTCCTGTCCTCCCAGTGTAGAGTTTGAGAACCCAAACACTTGGTCTCTTCAATTGCTAGTTTGGATATTATTCAAATTAAAGATCATCCGTCGTGGAGACAGAAGCACCACAATAAGAACTTTCTTGAACTGTTTTTTCAATCCTATTTAATAGATTTATTCCATCAAAATAAAAATTTCATTTTATTCATGTCAAAACAAACAACCTCTGATTCAGCAACTACCACCTTTAGGGGTGGGAAGTGAAGGGATATGTCTTTCAATTTGTTATAAACCCAATAAAGGCCATGGGCAAGGATAATAGCATCTGTCAGACACTGATATCCTGGAGGAGGCCCTAGGCATAGTGGAAAGTCATGAGTTAAATACCAGGCAAGCAGGACCAAGCCATGTAATGGCTCTATGCCCAATTATATCTATAAAATGGAAATAAAAAGACCTACCTCCAGGATGTTGAGAATTAAATATGAAAAAGTTTTCCATAGAGCTCATCTGATAGAAGCTACCTGTTTTTGAGTCCCATGCCTCATGCATTTTCTTAGATATCAGTGTTGTTGTTTTTTTAATTTATTACACTATCTTTAGCAATGAGCCATTTTCTCAAATACATCACAGTGTCACTAGAAACTAGTTACACTTATTTAGAGTTTGTCTGAGGAGGAAAACATGTCATGTCAGAATGAATCTGAGTTTGTATTTTTCTTTTCATATCATTAGCAATCTTGTCACCGTGTAGTCTAGTCTGGAAAAGTTATGGCTGTGAACTTCATATTTTATTTAATTGAAGAAGTGGAGAATAAATAATTTGTGAAAATTAAATAAGTCCAAATGACTCAAACAATCTTAAAAGTAATTCTAGAATAATTTTAAGAGCTTCCACAATTCCTAGTCTTCTTAGGGGGTGAGACATCCTACTTAAAAGATTTGAGTTGTCCTCTCAGCTTTGTCTTGATATTGTTTTTCCAACACAAGAAGATTACAGGCTTTGAATCCTAGCTCTGCACATTTGGGTGATGTGCAGCAGTTACTTAACTTCTCTGTGCCTCAGTTTCCCATTTGTAATACATGGATAATAATACTCCATTGGGTGGTTGCAAAGATACATTCACATTTGTATGACACAGGTTGATGGTGGTGGTGGTGATGATAATCAGCCTTCATTGTACTGTAATATTATGTCCAGGTCATGATCTAAGCATATCATATATAGTGACACATTTGTATATAGGGTAAATCAACAATATGGAATCTATAAGCATGAGTTCTTTTTCTTAGTCCTCAAGCCCAGTTCTTCATCCATCAGATACAGAGTTGGTTCTCCACATTGTAGTCCAAATGATTTTAATAATATAATCACGCTACCACCTCAGCCCCTCAAACACAAACACACTTGCATTTAACACCTCCCAATGGCTTTCCATCGCCTACCAAGCCCTGCGTATTCTGGCCCCTGCCTACTTCCTGCCTGGCCTCCAGCCACACAGGCCTTCTCTGGTTTCTCAGTACTTTCCCTCTAACCATGGTCTTTGGTGACCCTTTCTCCTCACCCTCCCCTCCATTTCTTGTTAATTATAGCCCTGAATTCTTAGCTCAAGCTGAGAAGCCATCCATGACCCTCAGCTGATTACAGCTCTTCAAGATCTGGGTTGCTTTACTTCAGAGGACCCATTCTAGTTTGGTGATTATGGATAGACTGATGTAACCATTTCATTAACATCCGTCTCCCTGCTGGACTAAAGGCTTTCTGGGAGCAGGACCCATGGGCAGACTTGCTCTCTCTTGTGCCCCCAGCACTAGAACAATACCAAGTGGTTCATCAGCACTTCGTACATTTTTATTGAATGAGATGACAAATACCAAGGCTGTGATGTAGGTAAAATTTAAAAGCAAATGTGGAAAACATTCTACAAAATGTCAGCTCCCACATGAGTGCCAGTTGTCTCAATCACTGTTGGTTGGGAACTTTCTGCAGCCATACTTGAGGGCACTGGTTTTGTCACCATGCTCTATTTTAACTTAAAATAAGAAGATGCAAACAGAAAAAAAAAAGGAAGAAAAAGAAAGGACAACTAGATCATGCTAATGCACGAACAGGGCTTTGGGAAGACATTTGGCTTGTCTTCCTTCTCCATGGACCTCATTAAGGGAGCACAGAACTTCCTTCCCCAGGTAGGGAAGGATTCAACCAGCAAAATGATTTCAGGATTCAAAGAACAGCCAGAAAGGACCCTTCCAGATAGGACTGAGGGGATGGGGGGACCCACAGCAAGGAAAGCTGTGAAGTCTGAGGAACCTTGCCTGATTCTGTCCGGTGGACCTCATTTGGCATTGGGCCTTTTTGTGGGCGAGCTAACAAATGACTGGAGGCACTTTTTTATCCTAAAGGGACAAGGGTGAGGTGCCTGGCCACGTGCCATTTCCTCTCCCTGCGTAGTCTTTGCTGTGTTTCTCTGCTGTGAACCCCTACTTGACCTTTAGAACTCAGCCCTAGCCTTTCTAGGAAGCCTCCCTCTGCAGCTCCAAAGATGGAGTGGCTGTGATGAGTCACACAGTCATAGCGAGAAGAAGAAATGCGAGGGAGCAGCAGAGAGGCACCACCAGCCCCGTGGGTCCCTGGCTGTGTGCTGAGGGCGGAGCCTGTGCAATCTCATCTGCTCCTCACACAGTGTCTGTCTGTACCAGATGCTGTCATCTCCACGTGACTCACCTGATTTGCCAGAGCCATAGTTCGTAAAGCAGCAGAGAGAAGACTCAAGTCCAGACCATCTGAACCAAACATCAATTCCCTTAACCTTTGCTTTGAACGTTTATTTCTGAGCATCAGTGTGAAAACAGTCTTTCGGATTATATCAAAACACTCTATTTACATGTCTATCTCCTGGTGGCCAGGAGCAGCTTGGGCACACCCTCTTGGTTTTCTGTTTCTGCATCCTGCTTAGCACAGAGCTGTATTCTGCGTGGATGCTCAAGACATTCTTCTTAAATGAAGAATTGGATGAGAGAGTGAATACACAAATTCATCTGTCTCTATCAGTCATGCTCCTTCCAGAGGGGGACTCTTCTGGAGGCAGAAATTTTCCAGACTCCCAAAAGCAGGCTTGCTAGAAGTCTACACACACACACACACACACACACACACACACACACACAGGGAAAATACACATTTTCTAACTCATTATTATGCATAAATAATACTAATAAAATAATAAGTAAAACATACAATGCTCTCTATGTGCCAAGCACAGTTGCACTGTGTGTATGGATATATGTTCCTCACAATAATCCTGTGAGGTCAATACTGTTATTATCTTCCTTTTATATATGAGGAAACCATGACACAGAGAAGTTAGGTAACTTGTCCAAGGTCCCACAGCTATTAAGTGCAAGGGTTAGGATTAGAACCCATAAAGTCTGGCTCAGAGGTAGACAATAAGAAAGAATTGATGACTATATTTGTACCTTGGTACATGTTTATGGAGTTCTTATTTTTCACATTTTTTGAATTCTCTACTCAAGTTCTTCCATGTATTTAGAACCAATCTAGTATTCAGGCCCTCGTTAAATGCATCTTCACT